ATCTCATGTTATGAGAAAATATTTTTAGCGAGAACAATGATCAATGAACAATGATGCGCACTTACTTCAATATTATGGCAGACACTTCTGGATTCGGTGGTCGAACGGTCCATTGTCCAGTTTGAATAGGACCAATGATAATAGCTTACTGTACAACCACAGCTGTACGGAAGTGTTGATGTCGTGTGAAGGCATCTCCACAACATTATGAAAAATACCACTGTATTTGAAGGATACAACTTGAAGAAAACGGTAAGATTTGCCAGTCAGACAATTGTATTTACACTGCAATAAATATAGGCCTATATTTTTCCACTAAAAATAGCTAATAGATGTTCACCTTATCAGCAAAACTGCATTAATTTAATAAAAACATTTTTTAACAATTGAAATATTATTGGGCCAGTGGAAATGAATGAGATTAACTCTATTCTAAATTATTTTTCTGAGAAATATTTTAAACAGTTTATGGATATTTTGATATATTTATTCTAAAACATGACAAGGATACCGGATGATTTTTAATTAATGCAATAAAAATTTATATGTATGGCTTGTCTTGTACCTTTGATGGTGTTAAACATGGTGTCACGTGGATGGGAATATGCATAGATATGATATGCAGATGAGGTTATGCATAGTAAAACTAGGCGTTGTAAGCTCCATATATGGTGATTTCGGGGAGGAGTCGGGCTGGAGATGCACATACACTAAAATCTAGCTTTTGTGCCTACGTACACTTTTAGGATGAAATCTACAGAGTTTTATACATGAGGCCCCAGAGCCGTTCGTTTGATTAACTGAGTCAACAGCCAGTCCATTAATTCACGCATCGATAAGGAAATAAGCCGAGAAACTGCACAGTAAAATGTAAAACAGTTTATAGGAAGTGCAAAACAGTTCCATGCGTACAGCCGTCCATCACTCCGAGAGCGAACTGCACGCTGGCATTATGCAAATGTGCTGCAATAGTGTGAAGAAAGACTTGACTGTGTCCAGTTTTAGAAGCACAATGAACCTGAGGACAGATCAGCAGAGCCAAACACACAGAGGAACTTGAGTCAGCAAAGCCCACATGACCGCTGAGGAAAGAAGCAAGAGGAAATGATGAGGCAGACGTCTGCAGGGAGGGGTCAGGATGCTCGACTAGTCAATCCGATTAGTGAGGCTGACTAGTTTCTCTAGATTTTTACGTAGCTTAAATTTTTCTGGAGGTGTTTTGAGGGGGATGAATTTACAAAGTACATTTCATGCTCATTATCATACATAACATGCACATCTGTTTGTTTCTGAAGATTATAGTGAAGCTAGTTTTGTGCAAATTCAGGTCGTTGTTATTTCAGTGGATCTCACAAAAGCATGTCCAGGTCACATTTCATCCCAAAAACAAAAAGATTATTTTAGGATCTTTTTTTTTTCTTTTGGTCATTTTTATGACAAATAAGCAAATTTCTCCCAAATTCTCATTATTGAAATGTTTTTGGATGTTTTAATTGTGAGTTTTTCCCCCAAAGGTGAGATTCTCATTACTATTAAACAGTATTTAAAAAAAAATACTACTACTACTACTACTACTAATACGATTTTTATTTAAATCGGCAAAAAAGTAGTACAAAAGTACAAATGCTTGCATTATTTATAAATGCTTCAATTTAAACAATATATTTTATTTTGCATTACAGAAATAAGGATCGAAAGAAATGTGCTGAATTATCAGGACTATTAAAAATTTGTGCCAATTCAGGTTGTAGTTATTTCAGTGTCACATTTCATCAAAAACAATAAGATTATTTTACTATCATTTTCATGACAATTAAGCAAATTTCTCCCAAATTCTCATTATTGAAATGTTTTTGGATGTTTTAATCGTGAGTTTTTCCCCAAAGGTGAGATTCTCATTACTATTAAACTAAAAATACTACTACTACAAATACGATTTTTATTTAAATCGGCAAAAAAGTAGTACATCAAATGCTTGTATTATTTATAAATGCTTCAAAATTTAAACAATATATTTTATTTGCATTACAGAAATAAGGATCGAAGGAAATGTGCTGAATTATCAGGACTATTAAAGATTTGTGCCAAGTCAGGTTGTAGTTATTTCAGTGTCACATTTCATCAAAAACAATAAGATTATTTTACTATCATCTACATCATTTTCATGACAATTAAGCACATTTTCCCCCAAATTTACATTATTGTAATGTGTTAGGATGTTTTAATTGTGGGATTTTACTAATTATTTTTACTACATTGTAATTACTATAATACAGTACTTTAAAAATAATAAATAAATAATAATATTATAATGATTTGTTTTTAAAGTAATAAATCATATGCTACTATTATTTATAAATGCTCCAAAATTTAAATAATATATTTTATTCACATAACAGAAATAAGAATGTAAGGGAATGTGCTTAATTATCATGAAAATAAATGTCACAATGCAAAAGCTCTTCTTTGTTGTTGTTTTTTTGCGCAAAATAAAATGTATTTTGTGCTGAAAATTAAAGGGTTGCATTTAGCATCCATATGATCAAGAAACACAATTGATCATTTCTGGTAAACAAACCTAAACCAGAAGATCATACAGGGCTTCCTTAACTCAACCTAGTTGGTCAGATAATAAGTCAATATTGAAAAAATGTACTTCTGCACATCTCTATAGACCAGTGTTTATTTTTATATTTTCAGTTTTAATTTTAATTATTTAATTTTTAGTAATTTTTAAATGTGTTTTTGTCATTTTTATTTTTGAATTTAGGTTTAATTTATATTTATTTCAGTGTCAGTTTAGTTAATTTTTTATGTCCAGTTAGTAAATTTAGTGTTTCAATTTAGTTGCCAAGACAACGCATCTAATTTTCATTTAGCTTGTTTTTCATCGAATATTTATATTTTATTTTAGCTTTATTTAAATTGAAAAAAAAAAGTTTTTAGTATAGTTTTATTTAACAATAATAACCCAGACGAAGGGAATGACAAACATAAGAGAAACTGATACAGCAGTAACTCAAACGCTGTCCAGAGAAGAGACGCACACGACACGAGAGTCGTGGGGTTAAACTAAGGTTGTGAATGTTTGACACGTGTCGTATCGCACTGAAACGCTAAAATATTTCAGCCGTCAGCGATGACAGACATGGACAAGTGAGGGTGATAATTCAGAGGTCTGTGAGACTGCTTCAGATTACAGAAAGCAATGTTCCTACTATAACTGGACACGCTCACAAGTCCCTTACAGTATCCGTCTCAGGAAATTATATGTGTTAATGGCAGACACCGTACACTGCACAAATTAATGTGAACTTTAATAATCTTTCACAAATAAACCTAGATAGAGACAAAAAAGGTATCACCGAACAGTTTTAACTATTCCTACAATAGTAAAAGTAGATTGAGAGGCTGTGGACACCATGTGTGTTCTAGGGCTGCTCAATTATTCAAAAATCATAATCAAGGTCAATATTGAGATCATGATTGTTTAGCACTATTACTCACTGACTTTGAAAACATCACCCATTTTTTGTACTTAATAAAAAACATTTTCAATAAAAGGTATATTTCACTAAACTTCAAATATAATTCAACTGCTAAATAAAAATGTAAAAAATAAAAATTAAGATACATTGAAAATAATATAAATAAATGTAACAATATGTTTAAATATAAACATTTAAATAAATAATATAAAAACAATAAATACAAATTCATGAAATAAAAATAAAAAAGATAAACTATGTGTAGTGCACTTCCACAACTTCCTGAAAACTACTAAACAACAATCATTTTATCTGTTATCTTGTTTTCATAATTTCATAATTATTGAGTCAAATTTATTCGTATATTCACAATACAAATTGTCTCAAAGCAGTTTTATAGAAAAATTATGATGTTAATGTTTACATCATCTTCATGCCTTATAGTCGCATTTAGCAGATTAGAGCTGGGCAATAAAATAGTTTATATTTTGCGACACAACAGAGATTTGCTATATGGTATATATTGCTTTATGTGAGTAAACTATGTAGGTAAAGTTGGATGTACTATATACATTATACAGTATATTCAACTTTTAATGCATAGCTGATATAATTCTGTAGATAATACAGTTCACATTTTGCAACAATACAGAAAATCAAGCAGTTGAGAAAATCACAAGTGGAAATAAAATGGAAGTTGAACTTGATGCAAAACAGACGGTCAAAAACGATGCACACAGTGACCAAAGACATTCATCAGACTCGTAATATCAAGATTTTGGCCATAAATTGACATTTATATCTGCCATACTTTCTATACTGGTGCATCCCTAGAAAGTATCTACTGATGTTAAACTGTCATTATCTGCAGATCAATGCGGTTGATGCTGTTCTTACCTAGTAACAGTTGAAAGATATAAAACAAGATTCCATAGACACTGTTTGGCTGGTTTACTGCACTGTCGTTCCCAAAAATGGTACCCAACAGTCCAAATCCTCGACCCCATCTACAGAAAAGATGAACACAAACAGAGAGAAACAGTAAAGAAGCAGAACTCAGACAACATGAGAGACGGGAACTAAAAATAAACACTAATATCATGTGTGAGCTCTGGGTTTCTCGAGGGAATACAAGCACATTATGACAGAATATTTGGCCTAAATCAAATCATACAATGATCAAGACAGCAGCAGCTAAAAAGCAGTTTCCTTTTATCAGTGCGAATGGAGATTTCTGACCCAAATTGATTGAAATTACACTAACAAAGGAGAAATGTGGTAGCTTCCAGTCACATCCAATTCCAGCATAAGTACATACAAGCACACATAATTAGCCAATTAGATAAAATAGTGCATGTTAATTACATCAACATTTGGTATTTTTTAACATTAAGATAATATAACTAACATTTCTCTTGTCCATCATCTCGGATTTTTTTCCCCCCACTGGCTGAGCTCACAATGCATTTTCCAAAGCAAAGTATCTTAAAAGGCAGGAAAATCATATTGCATTTTTGGGGGGGCCTTTGTTTTGGCTGACAATCACCAAACAACTGATTTTAGCATTAAGCAGTAAAATGGACAATTTTGATCATTTGCTAAACACTTAAAGGTGGGGTAAGCGATTTCTGGTAGCCAATGTTGACATTTGAAATCACCAAAACAAACACGCCCCTACCCCAAAAGGGTCTCGCCCCTATTTTGATAGCTCCGCCCCACACATACGTACGCAACCCAGGCAACGATTAGTTCTATGAACCAAAGCAAAACCAATGCTACACCGTGTCTACACCGGACGTGAGTGGCGCGGCAAAATACTATGGAACTCATTATAATCAGTGATGCTGTCTACACCATAGATATATACATATCTATGGTCTACACTGGATGCGGTGCGGCACGACACGACAAATCCCCGATTCTTGCCTTATTGCCTTAAGCCTTCTTTTGTTCCGCAGACGTTTTCCTCTTTTGTTTTTTATCCGCCATCTCTATCTTTCTGTCGCTCGGCTCACTAATGTCCATCCCGTACACTGAACGCTCTCACCTCCACATCATGAGTAGACACGCCCCTTACTGCTGATTGGCTACAAGTTTGTTTTGCTAGTCGGCCCGAATCAGTTTTCTAAAGCATTTTTGAAAAATCGCTTACCCCACCTTTAATCCATTGCAGCACCATTTATGATGTTATGAGTGAACTTGAACGCATGACTGGATTCTGATTCCTACATCAGTCTGTAAGTGTTTAAAAAGCCTGAAACTTTTTCTATTAACTAACCCTGAAGAGGAAAAAGGTGTGTAACCCAACACTGGAGAGCAGCTTCCGTTTCACAACTTCCTGCCAATGGATTTGTCAAAGACCTAACACTGCCTAACACTTGAGGTCATGCCCAATCTACACCATATGTCCCATCATTCCCAATGAAAGCGTTTCTGCTCAGAAAACACACGTGGGCTACATAAATAATAATGAAACCATGATTCTGTTTGTAATAGTATTGCTTCACTACATCAGGTCCTTGTATTGATATTTTCTTAATTATGTGTTCATTCATTTCACTAGCTACAGTTCAATTAATAAAGAGGCAGTTTGTCTAAAGCAAAACAATAGGTTACTTGCGTAACCCCGGTTCTCTGATAGCATTAAGTGAGGTGTCTCACTATGGGATATGCCCCTTCTGCGTATTCCTCAGAAGCCCAATTCCATTATGCCAACCCCAATAGGCTGGGCAGACATGACGTTGTGTTAGGGAGTGGCTCCCTCCCCTCGGTATAAAAGGAGCGACGCAACGTCATTACGACATTCAAAACAAGCACACCTCTTCCTCGCTTCACACAGCAAGGAGGGTGATCTGGTGAGACACCTCACTTAATGCTATCAGAGAACCAGGGTTACGCAAGTAACCTATTGTTCTCTTTCAAGCATACGTTTCGGTGTCTCACTATGGGATATCCTAACTCCCTTATTGCCAGATAGCCTGTCTCATAGTCTCCTGCAAACCAAAGAAACTATTATAGGGCTGGTTAAGTCAACACTCAAGATCCAACGCTCAATACTGCATGTGCAAACGTTTGAGCTGTAACATCCAGTTTATAGAACCTTGCAAATGTGTGCGGTGAAGACCAATTAGCCGCTTCACAGATATCTTGTAACGTGACCCCTTTAAAGCGAGCCCATGACGTCGACATTCCTCTCGCTGAGTGAGCACGTAAACCAGATGGAGGCGTAAGGTAGAGACCTGCACTCCCGCGGGAGTACCGCGGGACCCAATGCGACAGGGTGCGGCGCAGGACAACTCTTGATGGGCGGGTGCGGGTGGGAAGAGACTCGTGTGTGTGCGGGATGCGGGAGAATAAAATGATTCGCGGGACTCCCGCAAAATAGAAATTATCTAAATATAAAGTGTCTAAAACATATAAATTGTTATTTATCTGTTGTACAAAAGCAAAAAGAACAACTAATATTAACATTCAAATGATTGATATGCGCAAGCTAGGCATAGTTTATATTTATAACACGTGTTTAAAGGGTAGCGCAATGTAGCCAATCACAGACTCAGCTGTTTTTTTTTTCTAGAACACAATGGCCAATCAGAGGTTATTAAATTAGAATCTACTCACCACAGTGCTGAAATTGCGTGCTCACGAATCCTCTCATTTTAACACATGAAGTGTAGACATTGTGAAAGATTCATTGTGTATAAATTTTTTTGTGTTATAACAGAGCTTTATGAGATAGAGATGAAAGGGTTAGTTCACCCAAACATTTAAATTAGCCCATAAATTACTCACCCTCAAGTCATCCTAGGTGTATATGACTTTCTTCTTTCAGACGAATCCAGTCGGAGTTATATTAAAAATTGTCTTTGATCTTTCAAGCTCTATCGTTGTACTCAGCGGGTGTTGCAGTGCTTCGGTTCAAATGACGTGAAATAAAAAGCACCCTTCCACAAAAAAAAGTGTCTCACACGGCTCCGGGGGGTGAACAAAGTCCTCCTGTAGTGAATCGATGCGTTTTTGTAAGAAAAATATCCATATTCAAAACGTAATAATCACTTGAATCTAGCTTGCGCTCACTGTTTTAAATGGAAGCGGTTCCGGGGGAATGACGTATGAGGTCAGCGCTGCGCATGTGCGGCTCAGAAGTGACGCACGCGGAGAGATCGAAACAAAACAACGGTCGCTAATTAGAAGTACAAAATGAGGATTTGTAAAGAAGAATGTCGGAGGATTTCGATATAAGCCAAGAGGAGACTGGTTTTCCTTTGCTAAAGTAAGGAAACTTTGCTTCTTTTGATCCTGTAAACAAACGTTGGTTTTCACGGGACGCACCGGCGCATGCGCAACGCTGACCCCATACGTCATGCTCCCGGAACTGCTTCTGTGTACAATTGTTGCCGCAAGCTAGATTCAAGTTATTATTACGTTTTGAATATGTATATTTTTCTTTATGATTGAGAACGCTTTACCCTGATCTATCAGATCCTGCAGAAAATATAGAACAACTGGCACCGAACACTGAAAGGGAATTATGTGTCTAGCCTTGCACCAACGCTCAAGCACGCCCCATTTACATTCATAGAGTGACCGAGTAGACAGGGCCCTAGAATTCTGTATAGTTCTGATGACACTGTCTGGCAGACCAGCCGCATTCATATTTAGCCACTCACTGGCCAGGCCCACAGTGCCAGGCGTTCTGGATGAGGATGAAAAATCTCCCCCCCTGCCTGTGACAGCAGATCTCTGCGCAGCGGCAGGGACCATGGCTCTGCATACAGCATATGTATGATCTCCACCAGCCAATATTTCCCTGGCCACCGCAGAGCTACCAGTATCATTTTCAGTCCCTCCTCCCTCACTCTGTGAAGGGCTGGGGATATCAACGCTATCGGTGGGAACGCATAGAGGAGAGTGCGAGGCCACTCGTGCGCCAGTGCGTCTATTCCCAGAGGCGCGCTCTGATCTTTCAGAGAGAAGAACAGAGGGCATTGAGCATTGTCCTGCGACGCGAACAGATCCACTGTCGCTCTGCCATATATGCTCCAAATTTGACCGACCACTTCCGTGTTCATCTTCCACTCTCCATAAAAGGGATTTCCCCTGGACAGCAGATCTGCACCCCGGTTCATGATCCCTTGTACGTGCATCGCCCTCAGGGATAAAAGACTGACATTGCTCCACAAAATCAGTTTGCGTGCCAACATGTGTAAGGGGAGTGATCTGAGACCTCCCTGCCTGTTTATGTAAGCCACAACTGTAGTGTTGTCCGTTCTCACAAGAACATGATGTCCTTTCAGAAAAGGAAGAAAATGCTTTAATGTTAGAAAGACAGCCAGCATTTCTAAGTAGTTTATGTGACAGTGGTTCAGGTGGGGACCCCATCTCCCATTCACTGCCCTGCCCTCGTGAATGCCCCCCCAGCCGGACAACGATGCATCCGTCGTTATGACCTTCCTGGCCTGGACAACCCCCATAGGTACCCCTTGCACCAGAAAGCAGGGGCATTGCCAGTGACGCAGTGCCAAGACTGCCGCTGACGTCACTCTTACTCTCCTCCGGGAGTGCCGTAACGGGTCCACTCTCAGAGAGGCTACCCAGCGTTGAAACTCTTCCATTAAATAGTCTGCCTAGATGAATGACTATTAGAGCTGAGGCCATCAGACCAAATAGTCTGAGGCATGTGCGTAAAGAAACACTGTTCCCTTTCCGAAATTTGGCCAGGCATTGCGTAAATTTTATTACCCTCTCCACTGACAGTCACGCTTTGAATATCACTGAGTCCAGTAACAACCCCAGATACGCTATTGACTGTCTGGGAACAAACTCTTTTCGGTGTTTAATTTTAATCCCAGTTTCTGTAGATGTTCTAGGAGCATGGCTGTGTGATCTGTGTGATCTCTTGCTTTGTGCTTCGATTGAGCTGTCACCAGCCAGTCGTCTATGTAGGTAGCGAGACGAATGCCTTTCTCCCCGAGCGGAGGGAGTTAGGGCCGCTTCTGTACATTTC